ASATGGTTCCTTGGAAAGACCCTGGGCCTTCTTGGGGCTCCTATGGCAGCTYGGGCGTCTCCGAGCAGTGGCGGCTCCCTGGATCACTTTTCCATAGTGTGTGTTTTTGGGGACTCTGCCAGCCCTCCTGCTCAGTGATACCGCGTGCACCAGTTCAACACATCATGTGCTCTTTTAATGAAACAGTGTCTGCAGTCAAAGCCAAAGGCCAGATTGCTATAAAAGACGTTCAGAATCAGCAGTCATTGGACTGCTGCAGAAAGCTGGGCTTTTTTGTTGTTGTTTTTCTGTGTTTTCTTCCTTCCCCCGCCATTTCTGCACAGTCCCCTTGCACGAGCAGTAGCGTGAGATGAAGCGAGCGGCACGGGGCGCTTCTGAGCTCACAGCCTCCAACGGGACAGGCCCCTTCTCTGCTGGGTCCGTAAGCCAAGAGGGAGCGACCAGGAGGAGCAGGAGGTCCCCGGAGCGAACTTTTTTCCTCTTCTTTTTCCTCTTTGTTTTCTCTTCCTATTCTTGGCACAGAGGTGGCCCAGTCTTGGAGCAGGTCCTGGGAGCGCGGCAGCAYGGAGCCGGCTTTCCTGCAGCACCCGCTGGAAGGAGGGATATGATTCCTGGCTACRAGCAGCCATTAACCAAATACCGCCAGAAAGGGGTAGAAAAGGCAGCAGAGAGCTTGGCCTTGTAAAAATAGCTGTAACTTGCACAGAGCGGCACAAAAGCCCCCGTGCTGAGCAGAACCCGCTCGCTTTAGGCTGGCACAGAGGACCGGGTTGGCTCTGCAAGCGCCCCGCGTGTCTCACACTGCCCAAACGGGCACAATGTTATAGCTCATATTGGCTGCCCGCACATTGCATTTAATGGGGCATGTYCCTTCCTCTGGTATTCCTGAAAATCACTGAAATATAAATGAAATGAAAAGAGTTCTTCTACTGACTCCTAAGAGCCGCCAGTTGCACAGCGCTTGATGGCCACGTGTAACAGCAGTCGAGAACTATTTAAAACTATTTAAAAATGGCTCGCGCTGTGCTAAAACACTCTGTTCTAACTTAGGCTTCTGGAGATGTTACTAAATTAGTCCTGTCCAAAGGCTTTTGTGATATTTAATCATCATCATAAAAGCCGGAGGGCTTTTGCCTTGCCCTCCAGAAGGGCTCTGATGGTTTTGCTGGTCCCACACCGTCCTGGCAAGGTGCTGCCCGACTGTTTGATTCCAGAGACACCGAGACACTTCCCACCAGAGCTGCCGTTATTAAACAATATATTTTAATCGTCACCACCTTTCCCACACAGTCGTGGGCCAAATCTCTCCTTGCTGGCTTCAGCCGAGCCACACAAGGGATGAATTTGGCTCAATACATATAAAAATACAACAAGACGAGTAATAAAAAGAAATGTTTGGGTTTCTTTTTTTATAGCAGTCAATACTTTGCACCGTAAGAACACACATGCCTGGCCAGTAAAATCCCATGATAAAGGACCGACGTGTTTAAGACTTCATATGCAGAGTAGCCCATGGTGTTTAATTACACCAGCGAAAGACACTGTGTTTAACAGTCTTTCTTACCTGGACTCCACACTCGCCAGCAGAGCTTAATTACCTGAGACACGCGGAGCCTTTGCCTGCCGGCACCAATAACCCCCACTCCTTTGCGCATCGGACTCGCAGAATATTGCTCGTTTTTGCTCTAATTTCCTTATTTGGATGAGGGCCTTGCAGCATCTCACTTCCGGAGTGAGTTTTGCACAGCTCAAGTGCTTCATTCCTGGCACATTCCTGCTTCTTTCTTGCCCTTCTCCCACTTTTTTTTTTCGCTCCATGCACCTCAGCTCTTTCTGCCTCCCCGGTCCTTTTGGGCCAGATGGAGGTTTATGGCATTTCCCCTCTCGTGACTCTTTGCTGCACCATTAGAAGAGTTTCAGCTCCATCCCAGGCCCAAAAAGACCTAAACTGCTGCAGTGTGAATCTACTTAAGGCATTAAAGAACATGGGCCTTGCCTGTCCATTAAATCACCAGCACATGAACAGCCACGTGTGGAGCAGGAACAGCCTGAATCCAGCCCCCGACTCATCAAGAGTGAAATTAAGACATTAATTAAGCCAAGACCAGTTTTGCACAAGCTCATTCCTTTCCCTTTTTTGCAAAAATCCCCTTCAACCATTATGATTTTGGTGGAAAACGAGTCCTCATTACATCAAGCCACGTTAGATTTATAGCCCGTGCTCGGGCTGAGCTCCTCATTAATTCGTAGGGGCAAGAGGCTTTTTCTTTTTCTTTTTTTGGTCATACACACAGAAAAGCGATGCGATGCCGAGCGGTGATTTAGAGGCATCCCCCGCGCCACCGTCCTCGTCCCCACGCCGCGTCCTCGGCTCTCGCTGCAGCCAATTTCCTGCGTGCCCGCGCTGGAACAATCCTGCCTCAGTGCTTCCCTCCGGCCCCTGATCCTTTAATTTCCTCCAGCCGGCTCCTGCAGGGGACTCGTTCGAAGTTTTATGCTACTCTTTTGGACTAATCATTTACGACTGACTTTAAGGAAAAAAAAAAAAAGAGGATAAAAAAAAAAAGCCTCTTGGTGCCGCTGCGAGATAGCGGGGCTGCTAATTGGGATGCCCGGCCAGCGAACGGCAACGCAAATGACCTGGAAACCCCTCAAATTCTGCCCCTGGTTTTATAACAGGAGTGGTTATTGATTAATTTAGGATCTTATGCTGAGGTTACGGTCACAATCTATAAAATCCCTCTGCAGTGCAGGTTTTCACACCTCGACAAGGCAGCAGAAGGCTGCCGGAAAAGCTGTATAAAGCCCAATTAATGGACAAGCTCGCAATGGCAGGAGAAAGATCTCCTGTTTGGACTGGTTGCAAGCGCTAGACACAGGACTTGCACCATGTGACCCACTTTTATATGCTAAAATCACCAGATCTAACCTGAAAGTGCTGGTTGGAGAGACAGACGTTCCCAGAAAGGGCAGTCTTGAGCCTACCTGCCCCAAAACAAGACATAAGGCACAAGTACAATGAGGATGTCCATTAACGTCAAGATTATTGATGTTATGCACAGCAAAACAAACAACAAAATATAGCTTTATTGCATAAGAAAGTTCATTTATCACAACYTTTGTACTAACATTAAACTAAAATCCATCTGAACACGGAGAATTTCATGCTCCGCTCTTAGATAATGCCCATCTTGCCTTGTTTTGTAATCTAAAGTTTATCGAAATATATCAACTTTTTTTCAGGGGGAAAAACACATACCATGTTCAGCAAAAACAAAATATCCCTGCATTACAGGTACGATATAAAGGTGAATTTATTTACTGGCTTATTGCTTTATCTGCTATGGAGTTAATTAGAGCAGCGCAGATGCGGAGCCTCCCAAATATGTTATTTAGTAGCRGAGCTTTTCTGAACGGTGCAAATGAAGACTATCACGATGGCAGTGACCCAGGCTTAACTCAGCAAACAGGAATAGGCAATTATAGCAATTATTTTTGTATTTGTAAACWGTGCAGGTGCTAAAAATTCTTCTCAGAGATTTTTTTTTTTTTTGACGTTCAAGGACAAATCTATACAATAGTTTGATGGATATTACACGCCAGCCATCACTGCAAACTATTGTTAAACCTTAAAAATCAAAGTAAGTAYATTACTCCTAGTGAGAGCAAAGTCACGCTACATTTTTGAGAACAGAAATGGTTTTTGTTGCTATTTCTGGCTGCATTGAGTTAGCCTGGCTCAGATTCCCTCATATAGTGTGGCTAAAGCCTCGGAATTCACCATTTCACACACTCATGATAAAAATCTGGGGTTCAATTAAAAAATTATTCCGACTTGCTAAATGGAGTGTATTTCAGACTACTTCAGGAAATAGACAGGAGGAGATAGAGAGTCTGAAGTGATGGTTTATATGAATGGTAAAGTATGGCAGAAACAGAAAGATCTCAAGCAGCAGCCGATTTATACGCTGCTAATTCCCTCCTTAGACGATCAGACTTAGCCTGGTCTGATTTCAGCAGGAAAATCTCTGCATAGAGATCAACACTGGTCTCAAGCATAAGATCCTAATTATTTGAAAGGCATTTGTTTTCATAGCTTTTTTTTTTATGTGTCCAAGTCGATGGCATTTTAATGCCTTATTAAATGGTTGTTTTACAGCAGCCCGTCTGTTCAGTCTCTGTGCCCATGTCTGTACTTTGTGCTGCAGAATTTTACCTTTCATGCTAGCCAAAAATATTTTCCAAATTCCCTATAAAAGTTTTCGATATTTCCTAAGACAAATAAAGTGGCTTTTTTTTTCGTTTTTTTACATACTCTAAAATGACATTGATACGGTAGATATGACATATATGCCTTTCCATTTATGGTCTGCTTGCAAAAAGATGTGAAAGTTTGTGTTCATTAAGGGGATACGCTGAGCTAGCTTGGGCCCAAATTTATATGTTTTTTTTTTTTTAAATTACATAAACAAATGTGAATGTTTTCATTTCTGGTTGTCTTTAATTCAGCTTAAATCCCAGCAATACAAAATATTTGAACATTCCTCTAGCTTGTTTTCAGCCCAGACATTACAGTGTGGGGGTCTCTGAATGCACAAGGGTTAGAAAATGAACTAATTCAAAACTGTCTTGAAATAACATGGAATTGGTGAGAATTTTTATTTTTTTTTTTATCAAGTGACATTGAAGTGTAGGTAAGACGAATAAACATCCAAATGTTGCAGAGAAGCTAGACTTTAAAATGATGAATTTACCTGCATTCTGACAAGAATGGTGGTCAGATGCTTCTTAAAATATTGCTTTGCTGAAGCCAATGGCTCTACAGCCTGGGACAGAGAATGGGGAGCACGTTCCCATCACCTACACGCAGATTGCGCTGCCTCTCCAGTTGCACCAAAGAATAGCTTAAATTAAATTAAATTACAGATTAAATAATCACATCCTTCACTTATCTGTCTTATTAGTCCTGGTGAGTATGTAGTGGGGATCAGCAGAATGTTTTAAGATAAAGCATAATCTAAAGGGCCTGTTTTCGGCTCCTGGGGACTCTGTAGCAGGGAGCAGTAATGAACAGACGGTGGAAGCAGCCAGACCTACAAAAGAAACAGCATTTTAAAAGTACTGTATTTASAGGGGGAAGAAAGAGAGGTTTGCCTTTGTACATAAAGAGCTCTATTCATTAAAAGAAGTTTTTACAAATGTGGTTATTTCAAATAGTCAAAAAGTGTGAAATACACTTAAAATGAGTAAAATTTGTGGGTTTTCCTATGGGTTAAATATGTGCCATACTAATAAAGCTCTCCTCACACCTCTTCCCGACTCACGGTCTTTGGCCTCATTCTGCGAGATGTTTTGGATGGAGGGAGCTCAGCTCTTGGCTGGAACGGGCTGCTCGGAACTGAATTCCCAGCCCTGCGGGGATTAATGGACGGTCGAGGATCCAGGAGGAATCACTTGAACCTGCTGCTGGGCACGGCACGGCTCCAGCATCCTGCGTCCGGCCCCGAGGCAGCTCCAAGGGGCTGGATGGGCCCATCGGTGCCATGCTGGAAGAGGGGAGGCTCTAGGAGCWAGATGATGGCACTTGGGGCATGGGAATGGTGCAAACGGAGCAAAAAACAGGGCTGGAGGATGAGTCAAGCCAGCTGGCCAAGTGCTGTCAAGCCACCAGGCCAAATTTTAAATCAAAATTTCCTTGAATTCCTTGATTCTCACTGGAGATTTATAAGCCCCCCCACGTAAAGCTGCACTGGGGCTGGTGCTTCAGAGAGCCCCAAGTGCCGGCTGCAGATAAGAGTTTGCTGATGTTACTGATGCTGCAGGGCTTCCCTTGCCCACAATTAGCTTCCCAACGCTGTCATTCCCACCCAGGCTTTTCAAAACATACCTGGCGCTTATGCTGCACACAACACATATATCAACAGCTTAGGAAAAAAAGAAAGTGCTTTGCGAAATGTTAGCTCTTACATTGCACACAATTAAGTGCTACTGGACAACCTGCAGCAACCTGGCAGCACTGCTGAGTTAAGCGCAGGCTGATTCCTCGGGAGGGTTACCAAGTGATGAAAATCTTTGCACATCTGATTTTCCTGTGTTGGATCCCACCTACTGCATAAAGGGAACTGCCAACAGCTGCAAAACAGAAGATCTCTCTTAAAATCAGATTATTTCTCAGTGCCAGGTTATGCCAGGCCTAATAACCACATTACTCCTGCCCTTGCTCCTGTCCATATGCCCATCACCGGGACATCAGGTCTGCTGATGGATATGGTGGGGAGATGCCAGCACTGGGACAGGTCAGGTGTAAAAGAGCAAGACTCATAGCAGGAAAATTAGCAGCCTATTACTTAGCTTGCAGACATATATATATATATAAAATATATACACATATATAATATGCATGTRTATATATATATATTTCAGACATATAACCTTGTAGCAGTTCATTACTACGGTAGTGATTTGCTTCTTCCAGCACTGAAGATGGAGAATTTTAATGGCAATAAACCTCCCTTAATGTTAAGCAATTAATAATATGCAGTGTATTGCAGCTTATTTCTGGCAGGAGAAAAAGGAAGAATAATAGAGGGGGCATTCCTTCAAATATGTTTATTTACTAACAAAAAAGCCCACAACCTGCCTACCGCAGGCAGCAGATAACAGGGGAAGCGACATTCCTGCTTTTCCCAGCTGGGAGGCAATGGGCCCTGGCGGGTCCCTGCAGCCTGCTGCTGATTTGTACAAGCCATATATCCTTTCCTAAAGGAACGGCGGTGAAAATGTTCTCTAGATTTAACCACTGTCAGATGTTTTTTGAGCAGAATATTAATTTCTCTCCAGAGAACAGAAACTTTTTGTTGCAATAAGCCACCACCTCTCCAGCCCTTTGATTCCTTCCGTCGAGGCTGCCCCTGGAYCATAAGCGCCAGCATCCGCGTCCAGCCCGGAAGGTGTCGGAAATGTGGGGAGCCCGAAAATGCAGCAGGAAAATGCTATAGGAGCTCTGAAACACTGAAAATGTTCAATCACGCCACGCTCGCCATCAAAATGCTTCCCCTCTCCCCAAGTCCCTGTGGTGGCTACATGGTGCTAGCAAAGCCACAAGTAAACCGTCTCAAGGAGCAGCAGCAGGCACTGTAAACTGCGTAAAAACAAAAATAAATAAATAAAAGCCCTTCACCTGCCTGCCCGGGTCGCCTCCGTTTGCTCTTTCTCTGCTCAGAGCCTTCCCGGGTCACTGGGATGCTCCTAGTTAATCACTTCTGCTCAAATCACACTGCTGCCACACATCCATGTTAACTCAGGATTTAAATGTCTTAATGCCAGAGAAAATTAACCCCTTCTACAAAGGCACTAGCAGCTAAGATTGCTGCAAAGATTGCCGGGTCTTTAAAGTAAGGTTTGCATCACTCTTTCTTGAGCAAAAAGGTAGGGCAGCGAGCAGTGTGCTGGGAAAACCTGCCTGCTGCAAGTCAGCTATCCACAACCACCACGCTTCACCTGGGCCACATATTTAAAGGAAACTTCTGGATATTTAATTTGTAAGACAATATTTCCAGCATGTATTACTCTGCTATTAGCCATAATGAAATCCAAATCTTTYGTAGCTTATCCATCATTCTAGTCACAGCTCTCGCTCGCAAGCGGAGCAAGAACTCCAGCTTTCAAAATCAATTTTCCCACTTTTGGATGCATCGTGTTTCCCAGCAGTCACTGTCTCTGCTTTAGACCAATATATTCTCTCCCAGTACACCTAATAATTTAAGTTCGAGAGAGGGGACTTTATTCCAGTCATTTCACAGATCCTAATATACATTCAATAAGCAAACTGCCCAAATCTAGAGCAAAGCTGCAAGCTTTATCCTCATTCCTCCTGAGCTCAGCACTCTCGCCTTCATGTCTTCACGTTTCCTGAGCTGATTGAAGAACTTTCCCTGGACATTTCTGAGGCTGTGTCCTGGCCAGCCTCAGAGCAACGTTTATGGCCAATTTTTCAGAGGTCTAATACATAAACTGAATTATTCCCTTTAATTTTTCCACAGCTGCCCATTTTCCTTGTTTTGCAAACCAAGATTATCACTTTTCCTAATTGTGCAGTAAGGCCGGGGATCAGATCAGGATCACCCCTTTTCATCATTCACTTTACAAACTGTGTTCGGGTTACAGCGCTTGGCTGCGAGGAGCCCCACTTTTGGTCCATCTTTCCAGGCATTCAGCTGGGCTCTGATTTGAACAGAGCATCTGGGCTCCTCATGGATGTTTCTCCTTCAGAAGTAGAGTTTTTGGTCTTTTTTTTTTTTTCCTTTTTGAGCTGACCTGAAACATCCCATGTGAGTATCTGTAAATTTCAAATTACAAGCACTTTTTTCCTCCTGATTTCCTTTCTCCCTGAGATCTCTGACTCACAATCTTTTGCTTAAGCTATGGACTTCAAACACCAGCTGGGATGCTTTGATTTCCTTCCAGAAGAGATATTTTAGCTTATATCTTCAGCTGTGCTAGGAAGTGCCAGGTTGGCCACAACTTTTTTGCTTTCTGCTGTCTCCTGGTAGCCTTTCCAGGCCACGGCAGCCCAATTGCTTGGCAAGATGCTGACCTGGGCACGTCCATCTCGGAGGTTTGTGCCCAGGTTCCCTGTCCAGCCAGAGAAGTTTATAGATGCACCCAGATTTTTCTTTCTCACTGCAGGCCTTGGTCCTTCCAAGGAGGCTTCCCGACACTGCAGATTCATGTTTTAACTATATTTCGCATCTTTGACTTTGGCAAGTTCAGGAAAAAAAAMCAAGGTATTTGTGGGGGAAAAAAAAAAGCAAAAAAAAAARGCAACAAGTTTCAGATACTACTGTTGAAAAACAGTCTGGATGTTCTGAATTAATATTGCATTAGTAAAAGCCAAATGGCTCTATGCCAGGGCTCAGCCTAAGGTGTGTTTTTATGACAGAGCTATAAATGCACAAAATAAGTGGTTTATAATGGAAATTCTGACACACTTTTAATATTAAAGGCAGAAATGCATTGGTTGTGGCAAATAAAAATCTGACAGCTGTGGTGCTCCCTTGTGTTGTCGTCCTGCGCCAACAGGTCCACTTGGTGCTGGGTTCCACCTCCATGTGCTGCTCCAGCCACGCTGTTTTGGGGCAGATGAGGCCATACGTATTCTGGAGCTTGTCAACACTCCCTTTTATTTTGTTTTTCTCAGATCTTTTTGCTTTCATMAGCTGAAGAACTGGAGTTTCCCTTGACGTCCTTCCTTCCGAGGGCACCTTCCTTGCGTGGTGACTGTGGGTGGGAAGTGCGGCCCTGAGCCTGTGGGCATTGCGCTCAGTTCAAAACTCATGGTCAGAAACCATCCCCTGCTGATACTGGAGCTATGGATCAGCCTGTGAATGTCCGGAAAGAGGGGCAATACTAGGAAATCTAGGAGTTTACACAGGCACAACAATTATTGACATACTGTGACTGTGGTAACATTGGCGATGATGAAGAATTTTGCAGCATCATACAAGCAAATACCAYGTGCTAAATTCCTAAGGTGGAAAAAGGTGGAAAAAGGAATACAAGTTTTACTTGTATATAAATGCTCTAACTACTCACCTACTCCAGTTGCCTCCATCATTTACTCAAATTATTTACCACATATATATATATATATACACGTACATACACATATATCTCAAATGAAAGTGGGAAGGAAGAGTGCAAAAAGGCAGAAGCGTTTCTCATCAAAAATATTTAAGATTTGCAGATATAGCCATCCAGATCATACTGGGTATTTCTGATGTGTCTGCATTGCATGCATTAAATCTGAGACTTCCAAATGTAGCTGGAGGCTTGTGGAGAGCTTTCCTACCAGCCCAGCTTCCCGAAACACCTTTGGCAAAAAGATTATTTGGTTTGCAGTCATGTTCTTTAGGAAAACCAAGGGAGAAAGGCATCACAGAATATTGGATTACCAGAAGAGAGGTTTTTCAGACACATGCATACATAGACATACATACGTATCTTGAACATATTTGGTACTTCATACACAGGCTGGAGAGCAAAGAATGTGACTGAAATTGAAACAGATGACAAATAAACATGGGATGATAGA